CTGCATCAGGCATAGTGCTGGTTTGTGCTGGAAGGAATATGGGTGATGATGAAGTTGAGTATAGCAATCAAGGAGTATTTTGGTGTATTTACCAGTGTAGAAATGCCACTAGATAAGTTGCATGTAAGTTGTATGAGTATACATAAGCACTGGTCATACACTGCTCAATCAGGATAGTGGGAATACTCTGCTCAATCTGGGAAAGTGACAAGTAATGCAAGTAATACTCTGCTCAATCAAATATGACAGGTAATGCACTGCTCAATTAATACAGTAGCAGTAGAGCTGTACACTGCTTAATTAGTAAAGGTCAATTAATAAGTCTATGGGACGTATAATAAAAGTATAAAACATGATATCACACAGAATACAAGCACTGAAACTATTCTCTGTATAAAAACTAAATCAATTAAATTATTATTATTAGCTAGAAGTATATAACACAAAATATCAGCATAAATACTTAATTAGTTAAATTATTGTAAGCCAGAATTATATAATTATACAACACACATTAAGAGGAAAAAACTTAATTAATTATTATTATTTTTAAGCTAGAAATATATTTTACAAGATACTAGCACTTACTGATATATAAACACTCACAAATATAAGTGTAGTTAAATGTATACAACAGGAAAATATACAAGATACGATCACTGAAACGAATCCTTGCAAAACTGCTAATATTTAGGAGGGTGGTATACAGGATTAAGGAATGAATACGCAGCTAATTTACCAGCTCCTAATTGAAAACACAAAATCATAATTTTTAAACAGCTATTATTACCCTAATGCTATTTAGGTGACTGCGATTGTGTAAATGTAATGCAATCTTAATTATTGCTCGTAGGATTATCGGATATTTTGTTTACCGGATAATTAAAACAATCCTACCTTGATTGCAGGGCTTCTTCTGCGCTTCCTTTGTTCTCTATGAAGTAAACACAATAATATTTATTAAGCACTAGTAGTGCTGAGTACTACACACACACTGTAGAACACTGTATTCGCACAACACTATCATTGTATCACTAATTAGCTCACGCTACTACGTTAATTGTTGGTTTCAGCTGAGAAAACCGAAGTTTAAAGAACTAGTGAGAAAAGTTATAGAAAACGTACAATCCGGCAGACTTTTCCAAATTCTGAGTCTTAAGTTCCTAATTCGTACTGCTACGTCACACTGCTATGTGGATTGCTCTTTTCAGCATGGAAATCCTTGGTCGTTTATCTTCTGTGTATTTCATCTGTTGAATTAGGTAATCCAAAAGTGAAGGCACAACACAATTAGAACAGATCACTATAACGCACTAATGAGCACTACACTGTAATAACTGATGTCAACACACTCACCATGACACACACTACGCTGTGAGAACTGATGTAACACACTAAGATCAATAATTAAGCTTTAAAAAAAAAAAAAAAAAAGTAATTTGCGAACCACTAGTCAGAATTTCATCAGATAAAGAAACTTGGATCTGTCTCGATGTGCAGAGATCAAAGATGCTAATTCTCTCTTGGTACACTAATTAGTTCTACTATTAACACTGTATATAAAAATGCCCACTTCTCTATTTTTGAAGCATTCTTGTAATAGGTAGTGGATAAAACCTTTCAGTCTTCTCAAGTGTTATAAAGACTTACCTTGCTTTATTAGTGTTAAAACAGTTTGAATATGTTTAAGCTACATGTTAATGTAACAAATTTTTCCTAGTATTGGAAAAAAAATATGGTAACTTTTATGCAATTGTGAGTTTATTATTTAAATTAACTAGTTTTCTGATTTCAGTCTTTACCATAACTACTCCATTCCGTATTCCTCACCAGAATGCAAATGAGTTAGTATTTAAAGTGCTACTTTTGGATTTTAAGATAGCTTTTTTCTGGCTTCATGTGCATGCTACAATTTAGTTTCCTGCCATGTAATCTGATAGTTGTAATTGATCAGCATTGTGTTCTATCGCTATGGATTTGATTTTGATGCTTTGATAAAGCTAGACTTTAAATACTGTTCTGTGTTTGGTTTAAATTTGACTGTTCTGTTTTGATGCATCACAACAAGCTTTGGCTGATATTTTGGCACAAGAGATGGTGTTTATGTTCTAAATTTTGTTTAAACACAAAGTTTATACAATTAGGGTTTGAGGGCTAATTAACAGTACACATCAAATAAAACCCTGCATGATACCGTGACCAATAATCGTCGGGACTTAGGTCGTTCTGAATTTTTGGTTATTAATTTAAATCTAATAAGATAACCTGTAGATGTGTGAACTTTAGGGCTTCATTTATCGTTTACATTGGATAGAAAAATGGTTACCCCTTCCCACACACAGAGAGATAGAGATTGCTCTAGGTGACAGCAAAATGACCTCACCACCATTTCACTTAAGGACTGAAAGTGTCATATTAGCATCAATATAACATGATTCTATGCATTGTTATTAGCCATTATGGGACTTCCTACCCTACAGCTGTTTAGAAGTGATATACAGGAATCTCAGTTAGTCTGGAAAAAAAAAATCATTTTTTCAGTAAACTTTCTTCCTTTTGTTATTGTATTTTCAATTGTAATCACGAAAAATTCCAGGTATCATATTTCAATGAAAATATTCATTTTGACAGCTATCGAATTTCATCGAATACAATTTAAAGATGTTTTTGCATGACATCTGTGTGTAAGGACAGAATAAAAGCCCTCCCCAAATGAATTATAAAACTGATTTAAAATGGATTCAGAAGAGATTTTTTCATGGCGTGTGTATGTACGTACCTCGCATAACTGAAAAATGAGTAGCCTAAAAACTTTGAAATTTTGTATATTTGACTGCTATAATATATAGTTGTGCACTGCCATTTTTGGTTGCAATCGGCCACACCAAAAGTATTTATATATATATATATGTAATAAAAACAGGAGCAGGAATAAAATACAAGCGGTTGTATCCGTAATGAGTAGGAAATTGGAGGTGAAGGCAGATTAAATCTTCAGTTTTATTTTCGGCAACATGTTGTGGCTACACACAAATCGGCACATTAAATGTGCTTGTTCCAAAAGACTTACATTTTTGATAATTTTGTAGCGAGAAAGCAGAGCAGACAGACAGCAGTGTAGCTAGCTAGGCCAAAGCTTGGAAAGCAAGTGTGTTCAGGATGAAATCTCAAGTCAGACTGAGTTAGTTTTGGTTTTCAAAGCATTCTGATTGGACAGTTAATATTGCTCTAAAATTACTATTGGCTGGTTGGGTTTTAGTTCCACTTACATCATGATAACTACGTCATATGACATCGATTTTTCTAGAAATGATGCAGTGCAGAGAGAGGTTATTATTTTTAGAATAGAAAAGGGAAATTACCGTATTTGACAGCATATAAGACACTCTATTTTTTCCTAAATTTGGTCTCAAAAAAGTTTACCTGCATAAAAGACACAGGTTAACTTTCAATACTGAATGCTATTTTTAGCCCGGATAAAGGTCTAGACACACATAACTTTTCCTACATCTGCTATAATTATTTTGTGCATGGGTGAAATATCTTTTGCCAAAAAGCGCCAAAGCTCGAAGTTGATGTCGAAGTTCAAACAGGTTCGACGGTCACATTACGTCTATGGAGCCTTTCCTTCTTTACATAGACTTTCTTTGACTCACCCGACACATGTGTCTGTATCGGTGCTATTCTTATTTTGATGGAACATTACCTTTTTGTGCCTCATTTCGACTTTTATCTTTGATAGCAGCATCAGCATGGACTAGCATCTCGCTGTACACCTTACTGTTGAGGGTTTTACCTTTTTCTATATACTCTTTGTGGATAATACTACGGCAATCCCACCAGATATAAAGCATGATCTTTTTTGTTAGTCAAATTGTGTTTTTGCAACGAAACCTCTTTTCAGCCTGTGTTGTTAAAATAAATCCACTTTTCATGGCAAATGATGGTCCAGTCCAGAATTTGGTCCTTGCATTGATATTCGAGCAGGTTAGTGTAGGCTCAAACACATCTAACCTTATCTGCTTAAGTCAGCTCATGCGACGCCTGGCAATTGAACTTGTACATCAAGTTTATGCAAAAAATTATTTTTTAATATTCCTTTTCTACTGTTTGTTGTAGGTGATATAAAAACTGGTTGATATGTAAATCGGCAATGCAAGTTGTCATATTACTTTAATACTTAAAATTACTTCTTCTACTTAAAATTACTTCTTCAGTGCCTTTTTTGTTAAAGCCATACCTTTTTTTTTTTTTTTTTTTTTCAAATGTTCTCAGCTGTAGCTGTCTGTAGTTTGGTTTCGCTTTTTTTATTGATAAAAGGAATCTGTTTAACCATTGCTTGCATATTCATGTTTTTCATTTAATCTTTCTTTCTTTTTTTTTTAACCATAATACATTTTATGACTGAAGATTAGAATTTGTCACAAGGTAAAGTGGTTATCTTATTTCTTCAAGAGAGAAATATAACTCAAACTATGCAGTTTTCATTCATATTGCAAAGGGAAAGGTGTCTAAACACAAGTGTTATTTGCTGGATACTCATTCCTTTCATTACTGCTGTACACTTAATTTACTTATTGTGTCAGGAGTTACCATCTATTGAGTTTTGTAAAGCAAAGCATGCATCAAATGAATCATAGCATTGATTGTTGATTAGAATAATTTCATTAAAGAGATATGTGTCCCTTCCTTGTTGTCTTAATGTCAGAATTGATGAATGCAAGAAAATCATAGAAATTGATAAAAACTCATTCACAAAAAGAAAAAAATGCATGTTTTGTTTTTTTCCGCACACAGATCATCTGTTTCATCTAGTATTGAGGCAGATGCACAGAGAAAGAAAAAAGTTAAAATGGACAAACATGGTACCGCAAATAAATTATATGGTTTTAACTTAAAACTTCATGTCTTTAACTTTTTCCATATGTTGCTGTCATAAATATAACTGTCAAATTAGAACTATTTCTTCAACAACTATAGTATGTTTATGTGTTACCTAGGATTTTGAAACAGTTCCAAAGGAACTAGATTTAGTAGAAGAGGAGGATAAATACACCCATCTCCTTAATCTAGATGATGAATTGGATGGGCAAGAAATGCTAAGTAAGTTACTTGTTCATTTTATAATTAAGAAAAATAAGTAATGTTTTCTGCCAAATGTAAAACTTTATCTTCTGATTAATAACATTCTTGTAAAAGTTGAACGAATAATTTCATGTTAATAGCATTTTGTTTTGATAACAGAAAGGCTTATAGTTTATGTTTTGATAACACAAATGCTTATAGTTTAGTTTTTCCATCCCCCCCCCATCATGCTAAGTTGTATTGTACTACCAGGATATTTGTCATCTTGTGACCTAGGACTTCTATTTCAAGAGACATAAGATTTTCTATTTATTATCAAATGATCTGATAAATTGCCAATTATCAGAAGTATTTATTACCTTCTGGAATACATTTACTGTATCTTTCAACTTAAAATAGTACATCACTAAACCAAGTGGTTAAAAAGCACTGTACTGCTTCATAATGATTTCTTTCTTTCTTTCTTTTATTTCCTGGTAAATCTCTAACTGATGTTATTTGCTGATCTCTAACCGATATTATAGTACATCTAATTTATTTGATATATAGCAAATTTAAGGTATTTTCTTCCTCCTTTCCACATGCATTTATGTTGTAACTGGAAGCATAATTGACATATATTCAAGAGGAAAAACTTAATGATTCTACAGTGGCACCTGAACTAAAAGGTGGTGGACGATAATTAATCACCACCAGAATTTGGCAATTGGTTCCCTAATACCTAGTTGCTCTTTAAAAGGGGGAGTATATAAGGTATTTTCTTAATCCTTTCCACATGCCTTTGTAGTGTTAATTGGAAGCATACTTGGTACATATTCGAGAGGTCCAGGGTTCGAGTCCCAGCGAGGGCATTGCACATTTTTCACACCTCCAGTTTAAAAAAAAATCCTAATGACTCTACATCATTACTTTAATCTATGAAAGGTGTTCCTAAAGTTGTATATTATGTACTCCAATGCAGACTGATTGTTTATATGGTATCTAATAATAAATCTATATCTGTGTTATCTATTTTTAATTAACATACTGCCTACTTTATTAGTTAATCAGTATGCAAGTGGAAATAATTTATTCTTAATTAAAATTAAAATTAATGATGATTTTCAGAAATAACAACCCAGGAACCTGTTCAGACTATGACTATTTGGGAAAATATTCTGTAAAAAATCATACTGATCTATTTGGTTTTAAATTCTGAGTATTAGGAATTTATTACTTTTCGATATGAGTATTGTTTTTATTACTTTTTATTTTAATTCTTGCAAAAATATGCTGGTTTTTATGGTTATATATTTGTTTTTCAAAAATTAAAGAATCATAAGTATTTTTTATATCTGAAATTATTATTTAATTTCCCCCTAAAAAATTTACTTCTTTTTTGTGTTGCAGATGTCTTCAAATTTGATCCTGATTATCAAGAAAATGAAGAAAAGTATAAATCTGTTGTTAAAGGTAGGCTATTATAACATAAAACTACTGAAACTTTCTTCTCCTCTTCATATAAATTTTGAATAATGGTTTGAATAATAAATTTTGAATAATTGACCTTTTCTTCAATAACTTTAAGAAGTCAGCCATGACAATATATGTAGCACCCTTTTTTAATTTAAAGTTCCTTAGACTTTCTAGTAAATATTTCAAAGATATAAATATAAGTTGTTTTGACTTGAGGTATCAACCATAGTCATTCATTTTTCTTTGATAAATATAGTTTAAAAGAGTATTTATCATGAGAAATTAAAACTTGTTTATGGTGATGTGTCCTGAAACTATGAATGAAATATGTAGCAAAACATCTGAAAAAATATCTTACTACAGCATTTGCTGCATAGATATCTACAGTCTTATGCTATTTCAGTTTGAATGTATAAAAACATGAAAAAAATTATTCTGATGTTTGGTTCATTTATATAAATATTAATAATTTGGATCAATTAGACCTATGCAGGTAAAAGTCACATATATAGGTAGTTAAAAAATTTGAAATTCTTTAAGCTGCTGTGAAATAACGATAAGGAATTTTGAGTTACTTTTTATTCTGGAAATAAAATTTTGAGTTACTTCCGTAAAAACTATGCTGCCCAGTGGATAGTGGATAGTGGTTAGTGACTCTAACTGCTGTACTGGAGGGCCGCGTTCAAATCCCGAAGAAGCATGGATATTTGTAAATGTACAGTGTCTGTATGTCGCGGACATTCTAAATATGTCCTCCAGTGGTCCTCAGGAGAGGTTGGTGGTACACGAAAAGGTGTGAGAGATCCTCGGACCCATCTCCTTGGGATGCTGCCTCTCAAAATTGAGGGCAGAACTGAGCTAAAGTTGGGCTGTCACCTATATGGTGCTCAATGCTCTTGCCAATGATAGGTGCATTTGACTCCTTGCCACAATGAATGTCATGGGCTTGTGCTAACTATTGCTAGATGAGCGAGATTAGTAATAACAAAATAATAATGTGTTTTTCTTTGAGAAATATATGAAGTATTATAAGTTTGTATTGATGTCTGAGTAAGACATCAATCCAAGATATATAGACATGTGTCAGTTAATGGTAAGAACGTTGATAGATACCGAATATAAACTAAATTATAGTGAGTATATTGATGTTTTTGAATATAAATTAAATACATTGAACATTTTAAAATTAAATTTTACATTACTTCTCTAAAAGCTATTAACGCAACTATAAACTGTTAATTAACTATTAATATAGTTTTTACAAACTATTGTATTTAGGTTTCTCTTCAGGCTTATCTTTGAAAAAAAAATCTGATGTGTACACCACATGACTTCCTTGTATGGAATTTTGCTGCATTTCATTTAAACTTATTTTCTCGAACGAATTTTATTAGAGATGTATTTCTCATTCAATTAATTCAGTTCGTAATTCGCGGCAAGACGAAGACACATAAAACCTCAAAATATCTGTATTGAAAATTGAAAAATATAAAACACTAAATACAGTTAAAACAACTGGGGGGGGATCTAAAAGCCCTCAGATTTTATATTATGCCCAAAGAGGCTTTTTTTAACATTTTGTGTGTTACCTTTATTTATTAAGTATATTGTTCTTTGCACTTAAACCTTAAAATTTATTTCAACAACAATATCATAGAAAATAATAATATATCACACTAAAGAATAAACGTGATTCTCGCATGAAGACCGTGTTGTCCATGTTTTTCTTATTTTTATTCACAACAATACATAAATATATTAGACTGATATATAATCCAAGTATAATTAATCAGGTTATCGAGAAAGAAAGTAAACAAAACCAGTAAGCAAAGAATATCCATTACATTCCGAATTCTAAATATTTGTTTACATAAACAATTATCACAAGACCTGCCAGGAAAAGGTATCAGATCAGACAACTGCGAACACACGATCGCCAGAGTTCACATGATAATTTTATTTTCAGCAGTTTTAAAAGTGAATCAATGCAAAATGCCAAAACGAAATTAATAGCCCTTCTGGGGAAATTGCCCCTTTGGGCTAAAATTTTTAAAATCAGAGTTTCTAAGAAAAAACAAGCAATGTGGCCAGTGGACAAGAAGGAAGATTTTTTGGTGCACAAAACTAAAAGTTTCCTTTTGGTCCTACTCTGCAAAAAGACACTGAATGTGCAGAAAGACTTAGTTCGCTATTCTGCTAAGTTTCAAATGTAAACAAATATGGCCGCTGTGGTAGAAAAGAATTAGGCTTAGCCACATTTAAACGACTTTTTAATTATCAAAATCATAATCAAAATTCATCATCATCATATAATATAAATCATTTTTACGATTTTGATTGTCACATTAGCGTGTATCTCTTCTAGTCTAGACTTTTTAATTGTTAATTATTCAACAACTATTGCATGCAGATTAACTAAAGGCATAAAAACTTTAAGTATAAGATACAAACAACATAATTCAATCATTTTAAAACAAAAAATGCACAATTTACCAACATATAAGAATAAAAAACTGAGCTCAATGAGCCGAGTAACAGAGTGGGTATATGCTTTTGGTCCAGCTGCTTGCAACCAAAAAAGGAGGTGCACAACTGCATGTTATACCAGTCCTATACACACAGTTTCAACGTTCTGAAGCTACTCGTGTTTGAGTTATGCGAGATACATGTAAAGATGCCACAAAAAAAAACTAACTCTTCTGAATCCATTTTAAGTCATTTTTGTAATTCGTTTGGGAAAAAAAATTATTTATTCTGTCCTTATGTACAGATGTCACACAAAAACATCTTTAAATTGCATTTGATAGTGGTCAAAATGGATATTTTCATTGAAATATGATACCCAGAATTTTTTGTGATTAAAATATTTCCTTTACCTCATACAAGGAAGCAATAAAATTCTGAATGTACTCAGCCAATTTAACTCAAGTACATTGAAGTAAATTATTTCTACAGACTCAAGTAAATACATTCAAGATTTTTTTTTTTTAAGATATGAATACAGCAGAATATACACTGACAGAAAAAAAAGAATCCCAACGTCAAGAAAGACTTGTGTTAGATAAACAAAATTTGGTAGGCATATTTATATATTTGAAAGATGACATCAATTCAAATTTCGCAGGTAAGTGTGGCGCTAGTAGCGCCATTCAGAACTTCCAAATCAGGTTTGCTTTAAATGCATGCTGCAAAGTTTGTGAGACTTCTTTATCTCTGAAATTTGATGTATTGAGTTGATGTCAGCCAAGATTGCCTATAAGAAGACTAAGAAACCATTATCCAAAAATCACCGAGTTTGAACGAGGTCATGTAATAGGGCTACGAGAAGGTGGATTTTCTTTCCGTGATATTGCAGAAAGACTTGGCCAGAATATATCTGCTCTGCATGATTGTTGGGAGCAGTGGTCAAATGAGGGTATTGCTTTAAAAAGACCGGGCTCTGGGCAGCCATGTGAAACTACTGATAGGGAAGATCAGCATATAGTTGTAGTGCATCGTACTGTGTCTGCAACAGAAATTTGAGTAGTACCACAGTGACACAGCGAACTGTTACAAATCGGTTACTCCAAGAACAGCTCCAAGCCAGGTGCCTTGTAATTTGCCTTCCACTGACTCCAAGCCATTGCCATTTGCTACTCCAGTGGTGTCAAATCAAAGCTCATTGGAGGAAGGAGTAGTGGTATGTTCTGATGAAATCAATTGTATGTTCTGTTGTATGTTCTGATGAAATCAGGCTCTGCCTTGATGCCAATGAAGGCCGTGTGTTGGTCAGAAGGAGGCCAAGGGAACACCTACAACCAAACTGTCTGTGGCCTAGACACACTGGACTTACACCTGGAGTCATGGGCTGGGGAGCAGTTTTCTATGTCAGCAGGAGTACTCTTATGGTTATCCCAAACACACTAACTGCGAATTTGTATGCCAGTCTGGTAATTCAACCTGTAGTGCTGCCATTTGTAAACAGCATTCAAGGGGAACTTTCCAACAAGATAACACTCGCCCTTATACTGCTGTTGTAACACAACATGCTCTACAGAGTGTTTACATATTACCTTGGCCTGCGAGATACCAGATCTGTCTCCAGTTGTGCATGTATAAGATATCATTGGACGACTACTCCAGCATAATCCACAGCCATCACTGACCATCCCAGTATTGGCAGAACGAGTGCAATAAGCATGGAACTCCATACCACAAAGTGACATTCGACACCTATACGACACAATGCATGCACGCTTGCATTCAAAATTAAACATTAAATACAGCATTAAGTGAGATTTAATGAATAACCTGTTGGTTTTATGTCATGGGCCATTAAATCTGCTATTTTGGTATTTTTATCATCCCAGCTATTAAATCTGATCTTTAAGAATAGGCTGAAAAGAAGCTTTGAATAAAATAGTTATTCTCCTTACAAATAAAATACCCAATACGTTTGTGTAATTGCAGTGGAGCTAAATGGTATTCTGTAGAAGTGTTATATAATTTGAGGCACAGACAAGCACTCAAAGCTCAGCACCCAATTTACCAGAATATACTTTTCATAATAAACAATTTTTCATTTCATAAACATTACCACCTCAAATTATAGCATATTTAAATAACTGCCTCACTTTGATGAAAAACATAATTGGTGATCCTGAATATATATGTATCATTTCTGAATTAAAAGCTTCAGAAATTTTGTTTTAAAAAGCTCAATTTACCACCTTGAATAATAGTTATGGATTCACATCAGGATTTGATGCACAAGTTAGAATTATAAACATTACGTTCTTAATTTTTTGCTTTTTATTTTAAGTATTTTTTATATTTCTTCATTAAATTATAAGTGTATGCATATTTCTCTGTTTTTTTTTTTTTCCCCCTTGCATTTTGAAGTGTGTGTTAATGGGCAGGATATGCAACTTTATTTGAAAATGAATGAACAGTGCAATGGGAAAGGGAAATTTCTGAGAAGTGATTTAAGCTGTTTGTATGCTCTGTCGGTAATTTGTATCTCTTTATTATTCGACTAACTAAAGAGGAATATTTTTTTTTTCAAACTTCTAATGGGATAATACCCCCAAGTTTGCTAACTTTCATGGTCAATGGGATTTCAGAAATGGATAATATGTTTTACTTTCATATGTTTAAAGTCTATGAAAATACCTCACCTTTTAATGTCTGAAATGCAATTTTTCAAAATTTTATATAATTTTAAATGTAATTGGTATTTGAGCTAACAGTTAAGAAGATTGTTTTTTTTTTTTTTTTTTTTTTTTTTTTTTTTTTTAATTTTAGAGTGCTTTTGCCATTTATTTGGCTTTTGTATTAAGAATTGCATTTTTATATGCTGAACTATCCAGAATTTTCCTTTATCCGGCGTATGGCATTTCTTGAGCTGTTTCTGTATTTGAAATAGAGGGTTTTTTTTGGGGGGGGTACGTGCGTGCCTGTGTGTCATATTATATTTTTGTTTGTGCTACTTTTTGTGATTAATGAATAGATTTTCTGTATTGTCATTCAGTATAATTTCTGTTCACATAAAATTTTAATCATGTATGTAATTTATTTATTAAGCTTTAAAGAATAAATTCCTACTATTTTGGTTTGAATTTAGAATTTTTTCTTAATCATTGAATAAAATAACTCTTCATGCAATGTGAAAACAGAAATCAAGTTAATCTATTTTCTTGATTTGAAATACTCCACAGTGCTCCAGAGCAAGACTTGTTTATACATCCCTAATTTTTTTTTTTTTTTTCCCCATCTTTTAATCATACCATTCAATTGGTAGTTTCAGCCAATTTCTAAAGCTTTTGAATGAAGAGTGTTTACCAAAAGGGTCAAACTGGTGGTCAGTGATGAGACTATCAGTTTAACCATCAGCAATTATGGTTATTAAATTTGTTGAATTTAGTGACTGCTTACCATGTAAGGATTTCCATTTAATGCATATGTCATGAATTGGACTTTGTGTAATTCATGAGGTATCTGTTTTTATGTTTTAAGTAGATACACCTGTATTTTGTATGTTTTGCTCTAATTTTGTTGTCAGTTCACAATTAGCCAAGTTGTTAAGATGCTGAACACTGACAGAAAACCTTCTTAATAAAGGCATCATCATGAGGAATGTAGCCCCTATATATTTTGCTATAATCAATTTATAAGGTATTTCTCCTGCCTTCGTGGTATAGTGGTTTGCACACTCAGCACGTAATTGAGGGGTCTGTGGTTCGAATTCTGGCGAAGGCATTGCTAATTTTTCATCTTGCCTCCTTCCAAAAATACCTAATGTCTCTACAGTGGCACCCAAACTAAAAGGGTGTTGGATGATGATTCTCCTCACCCAGGATTAGGCCATTGGGTGCCCTAACAAACTCCAGTCGCCCTTTAAAACAGGTAGTATATAAGGTATTTCTCCTGCCTTCTTAACGAGCCTTCGTGGTGTAGTGGTTTGCACGCTCAGCGCATAATTGAGAGGTCTGCGGTTTGATTCCCGGCAAAGGCATTGCTAATTTTTCATCTGGCTTGCTTCCAAAAATACCTAATGTCTCTACAAATTAACTAATTATATTTTTAATTAGCTTACCAATGCCGCATAAAAATGTGCACCCTGGTTCAGAATTTTTTGTTTTCTGTATATGAACGAATTGGAAGAGCAACTGTGAAAGAAAAGTTATATATTTGGTAGAGCCTTTTGAGTTACCATTCTAATGATGCATTGCAATAAAATTGGAATGCATCATGAGTTCAGCTTTCATATTATTACATTGACACTTGTTAGCATGCAATGCAAAAATAAATGTAAACAATTTTTAGAAATTTATGAACAGCTTCCATAGTTTTCCCTTTAATATTCATATTGTTGCATTCTACGGGTTCGTGGATTTGGAGCGATTGATGACAACACTTGACAATTTATTTACCAGTATTACACAGCAGAGTTCCAAAGACATGCTTACAGTCATCAAAAAAATATAATGAGCATGCAGAAACAATCAGCAACACAACCTTCAGGCTATAATGGTGAAGACAGCTTCATGGCAAAGCACTAAAGCAGAGCTGCCAACAGGGTTTGGTCGTTTTCAAGCTATTCTCTGAACTCAAAACACTGCTACTGAACTCAACATACTTCTCAATATACTCCTCTCTCTACAAACAGGCAGGGTATATATAGCTTTTTATCCACCTTCGAGAGCATTCTTGAGGAAACCGCTAGAATGTTCTTGCTGCATCCATGGCATATTGCCAATTTTGTTGCCAAATGGGCAATTTTGTGCCAAATCTGATAACACTGCCTTTCTCTGTCACTTTCTAGCAACCCTAACCCTGCTTTGCAGTTAAGCTATCTTACCGCAGCTGGGCATTTCGTAACAATATAATGAAAGTAAGTTCCGATATCCTGTTTTTAAATTAAAATGATATACTGTAGAGAAAGCTACTTTTTCTTGAAATACCATATAAATAGCTGCATGTATGCATTTATCATTCATTGGAAATTAAAACAGTTAAAATTATTTTGGCAAATGTTTGTATAAAAGTGTGTAAATGGGTATAAGTTTAATTTAGATCTAATAATTTGTTTTCCTATGTATTTTAGAAATACTTGGTGACTCTAGTGATGAAGAAGGATCTGGTGATGATTCTGATGATGATGAGGAGGAGGATGAAGAAACTAAAGGTAAGATTAAATTAAATTAATTATTTCCCCCCTTGCTCTGTGTATTGTTAAAAGGAAACAAAGTTCAAGATTGATTTTTGTCTTCATAATGATTTTAGAAAAACTCATTTAAAATTTTGTGTAATAAAATCTGAGTCATGAGTTTAATTTATGTTTTAATAAAACTCATGAGTATCAGCCTAATGGTAATAGAAGCATAATTAAAGCAAATAATATTAAAGCATTTTAACACCTTACTTACAAGTTTATTTTTCACACTTTTAATAAAAATTCAGTATACATATTGTTGTTGTTTGTTCATGTATTTCACGGAAGAATGGTTGCCAGAGCCTCAAGGAGGTTACACTTCTAGTTCCATATTATATGTACTATCATTTATTATTGTTTGAATGAAAATTAATTTTTTGACAGTTATAAAAATAAAATAGTATATTTTTAGTAATTTTGAACACAAACTTAATAAAAAACGCTGCCATGAATACCTAACTTAATTTGACATAGTTTTCTTCTTTTTCAGATTCTTTACTAAATTTACTGCTATGCTGCTGTATAATAGATTTTTCTATTTACAGCACAAAGTCTGAGATTTGGATTCACCTAAATCTTGGTGATTCAGGATTTTAGATCATCAGTTTAAACTAGTAAAGTGATATGTAGCCATGGCTAGATTTTAGCTTATTGTTTAGGTCTAACAGAAAAATGCTAACCCCCTCACAATCACAATCAATTTCTAAAATTATTACCCTGATGAGCATTAATATGTCAATCAATTCATTGTAATTGTCCAGGGTACCACTCTCTAGCCAGCAGGTGTTTGAAAAAGACATGCCTGCAGGGAATCTTGGTTAGTAGGGAGTAAAATGATATTTATGCCACACTTGCCTTCTTTTGCTGAATATTATATTCTCTTTTCCTAGACTTATATTTTTCTCAACTATATGGTAAGGGGAAAACGGAATTTATCTTGTTAATTTAATTATATTTATATATTTAAGTTCAGAGGTTCTTAAGGATATTGGACCTGCAGATTTCAGACTTGATACTGTATAGGTAATACAAATCCTTATAATTCTAATTGCATTCATGCATGTTTTCTTCTATGAAAAGCACTCACTACTATTATTCTTTTTATGGTACTTGCAATTGTGTTAATGGAATAACCTTAATAGAAATATAAAATTTTCACAATGTGTCAAATATTGGTAACCATATAATCATGCATATAAGAATTCATCAGTTTAACAAACAGTGCTGCCATTCTTGTATGCATTCATTTTGTCATATTTCAACAATTTTTGTAATTGAACTGTTATACTTTTGTGTTTGTCAACTTTAAAATATGTGCTTGTGGGATTTGCCTGCGATAGAAGAAATGGTGATAAAATTTCTGCAGGAATACCATATTTTTCCGCAAAATCTCAAAAAGGAACAGTTGATTTAAATTTGTTTTTTAAGGTGATTACCAAAAAGTTTCCACCAGAGAAAAAGAAACAAAAACCCACTCGTAGATTTGTTAACTGATTTTTGAAATAATACTGGTACTTTCGGATTATCTGCATCATCTCCTGATGTTGATGACTGATTTTTCACCAAGCTAATGTACAAAAGAGAACAGCCTTCTGTATATTAAATGGCAGTGCACTAAGAATTCCAAGAAAGAGCAATCAATCAATAGAAAGATAAACATAAAGAAAAGCAAGCAATATTCATAATAAAATTCTTAGCTTTTTCAAGAAATTCTTTTGTAGTTTCCGGCCCACCAGCAGCCGAGCGGTAAAGACGCTGAACACTGGTAGTTCAGTCTCTGAGGTTCGAATCCCGCGAACGGGCTGGCTGCATGGGCGTTTTCATGTTTTCTCCATGTGTAACTTGTATACGAGTCAGTTCCCTTAGAAAGTCCTCCACAAAAGGCATCCCTCCCTTTAGGCAGATAGCCCTTGTGTGCTTTGCCATACTTGAATAATCTAATCCAATCTTTTGTAATTTCCCCCCTCCCACACACACACACTGTTCTCTTCATGTGCGCAGTAATCTGTTTTCTCTTAAGAAAAGCAGAAGAGTATTGCACAAATTAAGCATCATGCAGAAAATTGTCATTGTGATTGCTGGTTTACTCCCCACATATACAGCAATCTGTTTTTGCTTTTTTAAAAAAAAAATATGCTTTCTCATTAGTCAGACTTACACTTTCTCTTTCATCTGCCAGTAAACTCTCTAGTCCCATTATGATTTGTTATAAGGGGAAAAAATATAGTCATTCCAGAGATATATAATAATGAAATAAATGACCATTGAATTTAGAAGGTAGAAATCCACATATACTAAAACATGCATCTGGTGCACGCTTGTGCATATCTGATTTGCTACATAAACGCATTTTGATGATGTCATGGGTTGTCACATAACTTGTTTGATGACATAGTGTATTGCATCATGAACACTTTTTGAAGAGAGGTGTGAATGATAAGAACTTAACTACTTAATTAAAAAGTAAAATATATATTATGTAATATTCTTTTTTTCAATTATAAATCTTCATTCTTTTTCTTCCATAAAAAATCGCTAAATTGCACCAAGGTAGCTGTGCTAATAGAGAAGTAAAATGCTTTTTTCGGCATTATGTTTTGTTTACATGTAATATACCCACCCAGAATTTACCTTTTATTATAACATTTTGTATATTTTTAAGCATAATAAAAAGTACATTTTTTATTATAAAATTAAAACTAGCTCTTTTGCTAATTGTGCTGAATCTTTTTTACAGATGATGAAAGTCAACAGATCATTGACATGACTGAAACTAATATTGTGTGTTTGAGAAGAAAAATTTATCTCACCATACAATCTAGTTTAGATTTTGAAGAATGTGCTCATAAACTTCTGAAATTAGAATTGAAACCAGGGCAAATAGTAAGTCTGGTTTTCTCCTCCTATTTAAAATTTATTGAATATCAAATAATTAATTCATTTTTCATGCAGTGGAAGATCATATTTTTTATCAAATAAAGTGACTGTCTTATTAAATTTCATCTTCTGTATCAATAACATTATTTTATAGTTAATGGTATTAATAATGTAAATTTTCAGTACCCTAAATAGCATAATTCTATATTTCTGCTTTTATTGAATTTTTTTTTTAGCTTTTAAGCATTTTTACCAATAAGACAAGTGATTATTAGAGACTAAATTGATGTTAACTTGGACTCCAGGGATTACAGGTCTTTAATATGAATGAAAATAGAACTTTTTTTATTAGTTTAACAAAGTATGTTCTCCTGCCTTATATTTTTCTCAACTATATGGGTAGATAATAGACATCTATTCATATATCATTTTTGAGCCTGAATAAAAGAACTGTTATTGTTTAATATCCTCATTGAAAGAACTGTAGATAACCACTTTAAATGTTTGCCAAAATTATATGTTGCGTGTTAGTAGTAAATCTTACAATATATTGATTACCATTTTTAGTTTTTGAAGCTCTTCTTTACTTGTGCACATGTGCACAAGCCAGACATTTACAATCACAGAACAAAAGAAAGCACAATTTTAAAATGTTTAATGAAAGTATCATAGCATTTTTTGAAGCCTTTGTTGTGCCATTTGAAAACCTGATTATAAAGAAATCAGTACAAATATAAAAGTATGTGACCAAGAATCATGGGATAGTGCAAAGTTAATCAAAGAACCATTTTAATGTTATATTGTATATAAAATTATGCCATTTAAAATGCTTTGCTTAAGCCTTTGCATCAAGAGATAGCTTGATTTGTTGCTTGAGGTGACTCTCAGTCACCACTTGATTTGATGCTGTGACTGACAGTCACTTCTCGGTTTGACGTGGTAATTCAAGTAGTGGAGATATTTATATATTAGTTTGGGCAGTATCACTTCATGAGTGTATTCAACAAAGCATGTATAAAATGATTTCCAATCTTTAATCTTAAATACCTTATTTAAATTATGGCCACATCTTGACAAGTAGTTTAAACTTGACATTTTAGGAATATTATTTTCAAAGTTCTTGAGCCCAGTAAGCATGGAATATTATGAGGGAATTAGTTCAAGTGAAAATGAGTTCAATTTTTCCTCGATGAAGAATGAAGTTATGCCTATGTATAGAATACTTGATGACAGAGAAGAGGTACACAGTGATGAAGATAGCAATGAAGTAAGAGATGTGAGAAGGCAAAAAGTTGGTACTATAAGTAATGAATGTGAAAGTGACAGTGATTCCACAGAAGAGATAAGAGAATTCAGAATGGATAACATGCACAGAATCTGAAGAAATACTGCAAATAATACTGTTTGTATTGGGCGAAATAGCCAGCCATTTTCTAGCATAAAAAGAATTATTAGTTTTCTATGAAAACATCTTAAGTTAGCTGTAAGATATTCACCAAATATGATGGAAAATATCTCGAATTGCTGGTTCGCCCAAGTGAAAAAAGGCCTAGAGTGCAAAGGATTAAGTCTTTGTAAAGTATAAAACAGGCTACTATTGAGAACTGTTTTTTGTTGAAATTGAGCAAGTTTTTATAATTAACAAGCCCGCCTTGCTATCCTTGCAAACTTTTATATGAATTAAAGTATTTTTCGTATTTTTAGAAATTGCTGCTCGGATAGATGGATTAGGGGAGCCTGACTGAGATACCGAAGTTCCCGGGTCTGAATCCCGGAGAAGGCATGAATGTAAAATTGTCTGTCTCTTCATAGAAGGTGATGATGGCCACTTATAGGTGCCTCCACAATAAAATGGCCACCAGTTCTGGCCTTAGGAATGGCCAATGCCATTATTGGCAAGTGCCATTATTGGGAGAAAAAATTATAAACCATTTCATGTATTGTGGTATTGTAATCTGAAATAGATTTTGCATTCTCATAAAATTTCAAGTATTATGTTACTGTTTAATTATTAAGTGTACTGTAATACTTTTAAAAATAAAAGTGCATAATTGATTGCAAGCATAAGATAATGCATAATGGAATGAAGCATATGCAGTTAAGTTATAGGTAATCAAAAGCAAAAGTTCTTAAAATGGAGAAAAAAGACACTGAAAAATGATGAATTTGATATTATATATCTTAGTATTAGGAGAATAGGAAGATAGGAGTTTAAATTATCAAAAGAAGAACCTCGTTTTTAATGTTTAGTTTGATTAATAAAAGCAAAAATTTAAAAGATTTAACATTGAATAAAGCAGTAAAACAGTGATAATTTGGCACTGATTTTATGCAAAAGAATCGGCTGGCTACATTGTGTTTTCTTATACTCCCAAAAAGCATTCTTTTCCTGATGCTTATAATTATGCTTTACCATAATTTTCTTGTGTGCTTTTTCATAAGTAACCTAATCCAATTTAAAAATTAAAATAATTATGTAACAGCAAGATATTATATAAAATGTTATTCCCATCATGTGCAAAAAAAATGAAAATGCTATTATGAAATTCTATTATGAAAAGATTTCCATACTGATCAATTTATGAACAAAGACTGACTGATGTGAAAAAGAAATCTAATGCACATTTTCATATAAAAGTAAGTAAGTAGTTTTGTTTAAGAATTGTAACAAAATTGGGAGGATTTCAAGATAGTATTATAAATTAATAAGCAAAATCATCAATAATTTAAACATTTGATTTATATTGCTACCATATTAACAGCTAATTTTTTGTCACAAATCCATGTGGGAGACATGCCCCTTGTAATTATTATATTTAGTTCTTTTGTTCAAATCCTTTAATTTGGTCTTTTTATTGTTTATAATCACAATTATTTAGATTTTTCTTGACCATTTACAGAAATAGCACTATTAACTTTTCATTATAAGTAATATCTATGTTCTGCATAAAATATTTTCAACTTCATTTTAATGTTTGTTAAATGAATATTTGCATCATTATGTCAAGCATCAATTATGTCTCTGTCATATAAGTTATTAACATTTTAAATTTTGCTTTAGCTTGAAATGTGTTACATGATTCTTGATTGTTGTGCCCAGCAAAGAACTTATGAGAAATTTTTTGGATTACTTGCACAGGTATGATACAAGTTGTATTTAGTTCTCTTTTTGGTAGGTAGTAGTAATCAAAAGCAAGCCATTATTTGTATAAAATAGTGTTCAGAATTCTTTTATAATTTTAACTTGTAAATGGTTAATTGTCTTATGATTGTTTTTCAGCGCTTCTGCCAATTAAACAAGGTGTACGTCGAGCCTTTTACAGAAATCTTTGAAAATTCATATAAGACTATCCATCGCTTAGAGACGAATAAATTGAGAAATGTTGCAAAATTTTTTGCCCATTTACTCTACACTGATGCCATTTCATGGATGGTAAAAATTTTTATATATCAGTTATAAAGTTAAATAAAATGTTTGACATGTTTTGTTGCTGGGAAGTAATGTTCAAGGATACTATTATTATAGTAAAATGTATTTGTTTCTTGTCAAATAATTTTTTTTTCCCTTTGATATTTTAACAGTTGAAAAATTTTTATTTTTTACTGGTCATTATAAATAATACATGTACATAAATGTTAATAAGAATTTTTTAATCAATTTCATATGCATATCTAAACAGTCGTCCTCATGCCAGGTAAAGTTGATACATTGCCAGTAAAGTCTAAAAGTTCTTTTGTGTGGTGCATTACATTATCATTGAATGAAATGCCTATTCAATGATCTGTTATAGATTCTTTAAATGTTGGTTTAAATTGTTTAGCATTTATTTAGCATTTTTTTAAATATTTGTTTAGCAAACTGTGTTATTCTGAGTGTTACTGCATGCCTATCTGTCGAATAATGTTATTTCAAGTTTCAATGTACATGCAAGTATTCATTTGAACGTATATGGCTGTCTCTCTTTATTACTGCATTTGTAAATATCCAGTCTTTTAAATTAATTGAAAGGAAAATATCTTGTCATTATTAAATGAGATGCAATCTTGTAGACATGACTATGAATAAAGTTAATTTACAACACTGTATTTTGTATGAATTCCAACAAAAAGAAATGCTACAAAAACATGTCAAAATTTATTGACAGCTTTTAGTGGAGATACAGTTTTGGATATAGTGTGCAGGAGATGGCTCGAAAAATTTGAAGCAGATGATTTTGAGCTTAATGAAAAGCCATGGCTGGACTACCATCTTTAATCCATGATAATACTGTCAAGATCTTGATAGAGCAAGATCCTTTTTTGACAACACAGCAGACTGCAGAAAAGCTTAATTCAGCTCAACAAACCTTTTTGAGCCATAATTGGAAATTAGGATTAGTCTATATATATTTTGGATGGATGCCTCATGACTTAAGTGAAAAAATTTTGCATGATCAGATCATCATATGCACATCTTTGCTTGCTGAGAGCAGAAACGAACACTTTTTGGACCAGATTATAACTGAAAATGAAAAATTGATTATGAATGAAAACATTGTTATGAAAAGAGCATACTTTGAGCCAGGCAACCTGCCCCCTTTGCCTCTAAACCAAGTCTGAGCCTGAATAAGAGCATGTGCATATGGTGGGATGCCCAAGGACCAGTACATTACAAGCTTTTGAAACCTAAAGAAGTCTCAGTTCAGAGAGATACTGTAAAGACGATTTAAACAAAGTATTCAAAGAAAAGAGGCTGGCTGTGTTCATAATAATGAATCACATAATAATTCATCATGATAATGCCAGACCACATGCTCATTTGGTGACTCATCAGAAAATCTGAGAACTAGGCTGGGAAATTCTGCCTTATCCACCATATTCCTTAGACCTTGGACGCTCTGATTATCACTTGTTTCTGTCCCTGCAAAATTTTTAATGGTATCTGCAAATTACCATTGCACTAGTAAGAAGTCATAAGCAATGGCGGAAAGTATACTGTACAATAAATAAAGGTATGAAAACATATCAGTGTATTATTTTTTCGTTTCTCAAATGGACAGAATTTTCCAGAAGACATATGTCATATGGCAGAATCTGCATCAGTCTACATGCAGGATACTAAGTATGTTCACTTGAATTTTAGTCATTAAATTTTTGTTAGCAGTCAAGTAATAGGAAAACATTTAAAGTTAAATACTATATAATACTTTCTGACTACCATATAAGATGATTCTTTCAGTTAATAGAATAAAATGTGACCTACATGAATGCTAATATACTATTATAAATGTATCCATAATATTCAATAAAAAGTTCTGACTTAATATATTATGGTTTTTACCTGTTTAATATAAATGTGTTAATATATTTTTAGCTAGCAGCTGTGTTATGTATTTAAGTAATATACATATTATTGTGTATGAACAAAAGCTAAAAATAAGTCAAAATACAGAAATGTATTAAGACAAACATTACTTATTATTAGTACTTAATCCTCTGAGTGGCACAGGATTTTAGATCCGTCATGAAGACCTGTATTTAAACAGCATTTATTAATTGAGTTTGTACTAATTACTTATTTTAGTCTGTATTTTCATAAACTTACATTCATTAAAATGATATTTACATTATTAAAGAAAGTAAAAAAGCAAAATATCTTAAACTGTAAGTTAATATATGCCAAGTAGCAAAACTTCTGATAACCGGATAAAGCCGGCCATAATGCTCAGAGGGTTAAATTGAGAATATATCTATGCAATATTCTTTTTAATTATCAGTGTTCCATGAACCAACAAAGTTAAAATGGTTTCATAAGCTATTTTAATTTTGTTGCCATCAGATTAATCCCAATAAAAAATGCTTATAATTTCAAATTGTCATGTAAGTTTGTATGTAACCTAAGCAAAATTTCATCATTTTTATAGGTTTTATCCATTATAAAATTAAATGAAGAGGATACTACATCTTCAAGTCGAATATTTATTAAAATTTTATTTCAAGAACTGTGTGAATATATGGGACTTACAAACTTAAATGCACGTGTTAAAGATGTGTGAGTACTTTAATTAAAATTTTAATTAATTATAGTTTAAACTAGCTTATGAAAAGTTTTAACATAGTTAATGATTGTTTATCATTTATGAAGTTCATTTTATTAATAAATAAGAGTACCAAATTTTTAATTAAATATTTATTTCCTCTAGAACTCTCCAGGAAGCTTTTGATGGCCTTTTTCCAAGAGATCATCCTCATAATACTAGATTTGCTGTCAATTTTTTCACATCTATTGGTTTAGGAGGCTTAACGTAAGTAAATAAATAATTTATTATCTTTATCAATTTTGTAATTGGTGTCATATTTTTCAAATTGCATTTATAACTATTAAAAAATAACAATACAAATAAAAATTTTAATTTTCACTTGATCTGAATTTTTTAAAACCAGTATATTTTAACTGTAACAGTCAAGAAATATCTTACTATGATAATATTGAGAAAAATCTTGCCTGTTTAGATGATTTATTTATTTGTCAATTAAAAAAAAAAAAAAAAAAAAAAAAATAATATTCAGTTTTGAAAAGTATTAATATAGACTCCAACTGCAAATTCTCCATAGTTTTTATGGAAATTCCTTAGAAACTATGAACTTTGGAAAATGTCAAAAAAACTTTGGTTTTTCTTTGAAAAAATTATAGTGGGATGGTTTTCTAATTTGAAGAGTAACCAGTTGTAGTTTAGCAACTTCCCATCCTTATCTTTTCAATCAAGTACTCTGGAGTGAAAAGCTTGTTTGGTTATATTATAGTGAGAAAATGTAGCACATGTTTCTAGCAATTTGTAATTATGAAGTTAATTAATAATTAAATTGAAATTTTTTCAAGTTTGTGAATTATACCATCTCAGGAGAAGAGGTTAAAATTACCAAGCCAGAAATTAAAATTCATATTCTGCAAAATTATGATGTATTAAAAGATGAAGCTTATGCAAATCATGTACTTTGCATCAGCAAAAAAGACTCTTCAGTTACCATATTATAAAAGATGACTGTAAATGATACTTATTTTCTCAAAGGCATATAGAAATTAGTGCTATAAAATCGAAAGAAACATCAAATTTCTTCATAAAAGATTACGAAAAAGATGTTATAAAAGCCAAATGCTATTTAATTCGATTTTTAATTAAATGTAAACCTTCTGGTTTTAGTTTTGGACTATTTGAAGCATCTTTTAAATGTAATGTTTCTGAATTCTGTTTAGATGATTTATAGCCAAAAAAAAGTAACCCTGATTGAAATATATCCTACGAGAAACATTTCGGTGCTATCATATTATCCACCTGACCTTAACTAAAATCAAGTGCAGTATCACCAAAGTAAACAAGCCCAGAATTTTATGAAGGTGTATTTATCTAGCAATTGACATATAGTTGTGTGTGCATTATGGCAGTTCGTGATGCTGCCATCTCTGTCAGTAGTAGTGGCCGTAATTTATGTGGTTCTAAAATTCGAGGGTTATATTTGTAGTTTCTGTTTGTTGGGATTAGTGTATGGGTTTTTTTTTTTTTTTTTTTTTTTTCCTTGTAACAAATAGGAATGCCAGTGTGTACCTGCTAATGGAAAAATTTTGAAAATTTTCAGAAATATGGCATTTTGCATACTAGTAGAAAATGCAGGAATATGCATTCCATGAAATTAATATGTGCAGTTCTTTAATCTTTTTTAAAGCTAAAACAGTTTCTCAGATGTGCACATGGACAGAAGTCGTAAGAAAATAAAAAGTTAAATGGAAAAACAAAGACTATAATTCCACCAAATTTAAGTATGAAAGCTCCTGAAGCTATTCTCATTGAAAAAGTAAACATGTAGGTAAATGAAGAGCCTCTTATAAAATATTATCTAATATAGAATGTAAGCTTGCAAAGCATGCAACTTACTAAATGAATTATAAGTATTTTTGATGATGATTATATGTATATTTCTTGTTTCTATATAAAATTTACTTTATTTATTTTATTATTATTTCCATGTATAAATCAGATTACATAAATCTCAGAGATATATGGTTTATAGAATTCTAATAATATCATCTATGCTTATTTATGCTTTAAAATATTTGCTTCAATAATGTATCTGTTTGAGTATTAAAAATAAAACTTTCAGTTGAAATGCATATAATATACAAATATTTTTAATTAATCAGTGTTTTATATTTTTGGATTTAAGTTAAACTTACTTAAATTTAATGGTTAATTAAAAGTAACCATTAAATTTGTAATTAAAAATCTAACTAAAAATGAACTATGTGGTTGTAACGAAATTTTTCCGCCCAAAAATGTTCTAACTAAAGTTAGAAAAAAACGTGAAAGTAGTACCTTTACTGCGGGTAGTAATATCTACTCAAACCTATGATTTTTTTGTCAACAGTTCGGTACTTTTTCAAACGCTTTCGGCTCAGAAACTTGGTAGCCGCTACTCCAAAAGCAGATACACCTCAATGCAAATGTCCTGTGCAGAATGGAAGATAGTACCAGCAAGATGTAGCTGAAAGTGGGAAAAAAAAGTAGACGTCCGAAGGAGTGATGTCGGAGCTGTATGATGCGTGTAGCAAAAGATCCATTTGAGTTCATATAGAGTCTGGTGAATGCAGACACATGTGGTCTTGCATTATCTTGCTGGAACATTACCTTTTTGCGCCGGAATTCATTTCGATGTTTTTCCTTGATAGCATCATCAACACGGACTAGCATCTTGCTGTACACCTTACTGTTGAGGGTTTTACCTTTTTCCAGATATACTTTGTGGATAATACTATGGCAATCCCACCATATGCAAATCATGATCTTTTTGTTAGTCAAATTGTGCTTTGCGGTGAAACCTCTTTTCAGCCTGTGTTGTTAAAATAAATCCACTTTTCATCGCAAGTGATGATCCGGTCCAGAATTTTGTCCTTGAATTAATATTCAAGCAGATTAGTGCAGAACATGTCTGTCCTTATCAGCTTGAGTCAGCTCAGCAATTGAACGTGTACATCAAGTTTATGCAATGCATAGCATGAGTAATAGACATGGCACTAATGTCTAACTCCTTATAGCAAGCTCTCAAGTGGTTGCATACTGATCTTCTTCCACAAGTTCTCGCAGACTGGCCAGAGTGCTCTGATTCTTGAATGTCATTGTCGTTGTTTTTGAACTTTCGGTACCAAAACTTCACAGTGTCATATGATACAACATTAGTACCTAAACCTACACATGATTTGGTGACATTCTGTGGCTAACTTTTTGTAACAGACTGGAAGTAAATGATGGTTCTAATCTCGTAGCATGATAGTTCCATTTCAGACATCTTGAACTTAATGATAATGATGTTTTTTTGCAAATTTCACAGCACAGTGTTTTAAACCAAGGCTTTTCCTGGTAAATGCCAAAAATATTTTGACAAAATATGATTAAACACGGCGACGCAAGCTGTTTGTGCAGATGATATTTCCAGTAGCGGGAAACTTTCATTAAAACCCAATATTTAATTGTTAATTACGAATTGACAAATAGTTAATTTAAAAAATATGCCTTACATGCATGTTTTCAAAGTTGTCAAAATGGTTATTTGTGTGTTGATTACTGACGATTTTTGCTGTAGGTTTGAGTCTATGTATTGCAGTGATTTGATGGCAAAAGCCTTATTTCTCACATTTGAGAATTATTTTGATTTTGGATTTTTCAGTTTCTCAGTTAGTCGAATAGTCTGCTTCCATTACAGTAAGGAAGGAAGTTCATGCTGTTTTAGTTAGTAAAGGAAGATGATATCAAGAGCGGATTAAACAATATTTTAAAAATAATAATAAAAAGCTTAAGTGTCTACTATTAGTCCTCGAAAAGCTTTCTTGTTTCTTTTATATAAAAGTTATCCTGCTGTCTTGCTTGAAAAAGAACTTCGAATTTCTAATGTTTATATATTCAAGATCTGGGAATTGCTGATTTCTAAATGATAGCTTTCTGATAAATGAAGTTAGTCCAAAAGTGTAATATCTAGACAAAATGGGAGATAGAAGAAAAGTTCCCAGTCTCTACCTATCACTTTCTTGCTTATATATGTATATATATATATATACCCCTTGTTTTAAGCTGGACTTTTCTGTTAATTGATAGTGGCTGTAACTGAAGCAAGTGCATTGAGTAAGTGGACTTCTAAAGTCATGTTTTATCCTTTCTGCAGATTTTCAGATTAATAAAAATCCTAGGTTTCTAATTTTTCCTAAAAATTTTTATTTTAATATCGTAGGTCACAAAATTTTTCCTAGTTTTCACAGTTTATTCTCTCTTTACTATATTATGGATTTCATATTTTCTTTTCTTGCAATAAAATTATCACAATAATTATAGTGCACTGATAGATTGATGATAGATGATAAATCCAGTTGTGGTATCATTTGATACTCAAAACTAAAGCATCAAGACAAAGCAATGCCTATTGTTGATTAACATTGAATTTTGGCATCAGTGGCTAGGAATCTTTAGTTGATGACCATTGATGAAAAACTTTATGTTGATGCATCAACTTTTCATATGCCAGTCTGCAGTCCATTTTATTTATTTTGTTTGTTTTCTCATAAGCTCAAGATCCTGTTTTCTTAATAAAGATTTTTTTTTTTTTTTCTTTGGTTGTTGTTGTTTTTCATTCTGTGTGGAATTTTTATTTCCTGGAATTTATTAAATTGCCTTAAATTATAATGTGGAATAATTTCTGATAATTTGGTCATGAAAAGGCTGTTTGTCAATCCTGCTGGCTTGAAACCATCCAATGATAAATCTGTGTGATAATAAGCTTGAAATAAATGCAGATTCTGAATTCTGAATATTACTTAGAGAGATCAGTTTGTCAGTGATTTTATGTTGTTTTTTGCCTATTCAACAAGAAAATTTTAAAATCCTTAATTATTATTATTTTGAGGAAAATTCATTTTGTACTGATTCTTTAAGCTAATATTTTTTTAATTTTCTAAAAGATACTGATCAGCCTGTTCAATGAAGACAAAGCTCATCATAAAACAGTACATGATGATGAGGCATGCAGTCTGTGAATCTAATGACATTGGGGGGGGGGCAAATTAACCATTTAATCGAAATCTAAATATTTTCTCAGACAAAAATAGCCAATATTCGATGCTAAATAACTCTGTAGATCTGATTACATAATAGCCATCATTAGGAAATTGTCAGTGGCTATTCTGAAATTGTATATGAGAGCATTTCTTCTAATCGTAGTTCTTCTAATTCAGCCACTTCTGACTATAAAAACACTATAAATATTAATTTTAATAAATTCTACGTATTGGTAGATTAATGTATGATATGATGCTTTGTAAAATCCCAAATTTTGGAAGGAATGTACTTTTCATCTATAAATTCTTTTGTTTTTCCATTTGGCTTCATGTTTTCGAAAATAAATATAAACTTTTTAAAAACCTGGAAATATTGCATATATGAAGGTCACTCTGAAGGTTCTCCGAGTTAAATTTTGTCTGCTGGTTGCCTTTTGATAAATTAATAAAATGCTTTTGAATTCAAATTACAGTCAAAAGTTGTTAATTCGGACACCCAAAATCTGGACCTCAAAGCTACAAACTTTCTGCGCATGCGTCACTTTGACGCATGGGCGTAAGACCTTTACGGCTGCGAATATGCGTGTACGCGTGCACAAAATACGTTTACGAATGCGTGTTTAATGTATAACGGACGGTATAAGCTAAGCTAAAATTATCTAATTCACTTAATGTTGCAGATTGCGTTGTTCGAATTGGATTTGGCTTATTATTTTTTGCAGACTGTTAGAGCAATTTTATAAAAGTAAGCTTGAACTTTCGATTATGTCAAATAGAATTTCTGATATATATTTACTAATATGTAAAGGATCTACAAAGCGAAAGTATGTTTCGAAGTCCATTAAACAAAAAGTGGAATTGCTGCAAAAAATGGATAAAGGCATATCCTTTGTTTATCTAAACTTGAACGTTTGTTTATCTTTAACTCCGCGGTGCGCAATGAATTGGAAGTTGATCTGTCAGCACTATCCTTATCTTCAGGGCAGATGTTTTTATTTTATTTGGCTTATAATTCCTTACTAAATGTAGTATTTCATCTCGATGTACTCTGTCTTTGATATGATTTAAATCAAATTCCTCGTCATTATAATTCACGTCCGATAGCGAAGAAAGTGACAGAGGTTATAGAAAACGAAAAAATTTCGATTGACAAATTTGTCGGTATTCTCGACACAGCAATTATAGGACTTGAACAGTGGAACTTTGTAACTGAACAAGAAATTATGTCTGTTTATAGAATTAAAGAGAATGTATTATCACATGAAAAACGAAGCAACTTAAACAACTTACATTGAAAGAAATGTTTAACAAAGTAAACAAATAATTTTTTTTTTTTTAATTTTGATACCTTTTAGATCATAATTGTTCTTTATTTCATAAATTACGGTTTCATATTTTTAATTTTATAATTTCTGCATGCCATCCTACCAGATTTAAGCTGATGATCTATAATCCGGAAAAATCGATAATCCGGAATTGCCGAAGCCCCGACGAGTCTGGATTAACAACTTTTGACTGTAGTAGTTAATTTATCATATTGTATCAAAAATCATAAAATACTTATGTTGTTTGTATACTCCTGTGTAGCCTGTCATCCTTTTTGCTTAACAGTTATTTACAGTTATGTAAATAGGAGGTACTTGAAAAAGCATTTAGGTGTGTATTATTCATTCCACCTTTTTTTTTTTTTTTTTTTTCCAGTGATGAGTTACGGGAACACTTGAAAAACTTACCAAAAAATCCATTACCTCTAGTACCCGTTGTTGAACCATCTGAAAAAACATCTTCCTCAGACTCTTCCTCTTCATCCTCCTCCTCCTCATCATCATTCTCTTCATCCACATCTTCTGACTCAGATTCAGAAGAAAATACTGGTATGTATGTAAAATATAAAATAAAAAAATATCTAATAAATTACTTACATCTTTATATATATATCTTCAGATTTTTCTATACCCCTCTCCTAGCATCTACAATGCATCAAAATTTCTCTTGATTACATCATTTTTAGATCAACCCATACATATGATGTACTATTGCTGATGACACAACTAATGCTGAATCTAAATTGAAACTTTGACATAACTAATTCGGAACTTGAAATCAAAAGTTTGAGAATTGAATTTTTCTTTTAAAATAGGCTGCCATATTGGATTGCACTTTTGTGTTTTGCTCTCCTCCTGTTAAGATGCTACTTCACTTGCTTAGCCTGTGCTAGGTACTGCCCATTGTTCTAAAAATATAATCTGTATAAAATTGTGAGGTGCATAGTAATGATGTGCAATGAAAAAGAATATGTGTCCTAAGAATTTGTTATCAAGGAATAAAGTTACGTGCTGAATTTATGGCTATGTCTGTCTGTAAATGACGTCTTTCTAATCACACAATACATCCTCTCCAAGTTATTACAATGCAAAGAACCATCAGCAGTCCATTGTAGCTTTCTCCAAGTCTATAACCAAAAATATCTTGTTCCCCATTTCTTAACAGTTTACGGTGATATATCCAAAAAAAAAAAAAATTCAGACTGTTATTAAAAAGTGCATGCAGTTTACCATTTTTCATGAATTTTTATTAAATATAAGTTGAAGTAGAATGAAGATCTTGATTTTTATGATATTTTTGTTTTTGCAACATATCAATTGATTAAATTTAAGCTATGATCAGCTGTTGTCAAGTGATGTTATTGGGAAGGGAAAACACTCAGGGAAAAGCAGCAGTTGAAATGTATGTTATTAAACATTAGTTAAGATCACAGAATAAGGTTCAGAGTGCTAGAATTTATGGCTCTTCCCATTTGCACCCCCTGGTTTGTGGATGCAACATTCAATGGAGAATCCAGAATTCTGGAAACCGAGCATGTATCATTGTTATTGTTTTACCTATTACAGTATATAGGTAATTTTTCTGTGATTAATATATTATGTTAATGGCAGTTATCGTAATATAAATAAAATTATATAACATAATTATGGATATATTGCATTTAATTATCATATTTAAAATTATTACCTTACAAACATATTAAATGCCTAACTCAATATTTTTTGATTAATTAAAAATTATTATTAAAATATTAAAAGAATTTTGAAATTCATCTTACTTTGGTTTCATAATACAACTATAAAGATAAATAAATGTATAAAATCCATATTCTATTCTGTATAATTATAAATAATAAAGATATTGAATTAAATCCATCAAAGTTGTAAATAATCATTTATTTTGGACATGAAATTAACTTGCAAACAAAAATTTTAAAAAAGCAAACATTTTTCTGTCCTTTCATTTTGGTTCCGCAATTAAAATATTTCTGAATTTCATTTTACATGGCTGTAAACTGGCAAATATATCAATAACTTTGTCATTTGATATTTCTTTGCTATAATGAATGTGCATTAATGCCAAAGAATTTCTGCGATCTCCATCATAGTATGTCTATTATAATTTTCTAACCATTTTAAAGCACTTCGGGAACGTTCACATTCGCAAGATGTTATCAGCAGCTGCTCTGTGCAAAAGCACATCAGCATTTGGTAAAAAGATTTTATTCGAAGCTTTTAAAGCCAAAACTGGTGTGTCTGTAAGCTTTGCTTTGGGAATAGACATATAATACCATCGCCAACGTTTCGTCGCTTCTTTTAGAAGTTCCGATGAGGTTAAATCATCTTTAATGTACCCTTCAATTCATTTACAGCAATTTCATTTACACGATCAGCGCAAACTGATAGTTGTATGCAAAACAGGGATGATTCATTCTTTTCTAAATTTGAAAATTGAGATTTTTAATGGAAAATGAGATAATCAAGTAAAGATCGGTATTTATTAAGTCAAGTATTAAACACTAATCCCAATGAGCATTATTTTGATAGACTTGCTTTCAAATGATGAGTGGTATTTGAAACTCTACATCTAATTGTTTACAAATTTGTCCACCATGAACAAATATACTTTCAAAACTCTTATCTACATTTTCTCGCTCAGAAATATAAACTCAATTATTTCCTGGACAATGTTATAGGCTTCCACAGTATCAACAGGTCGTCCCTAAAGTTTAACTGTAATTCCTTTTAAACGAGATAGATAATGATATGCTGTTACAATGAAATCAGATGAAATGATTGAATTCAGCAGTATCATAGCATCATGCTTACATTGCGCATTTCACTGATTATGCACATAAGCATCTGGTTTGGTTAAACACACAATGTGCCCTAGGGCTTCAATTATATACAAAAAGCTCTGATAAAAATACTGGTATGCCTTATACTGCATGGCTCATCTTGTCCAGCAAAGCTCTAATATTATTTTCGTCAACCTAAATCATATAGGGAGACTCGATTATATGAGTTTAATGTAACCAAAAATGCAAATTTATTAGCCACTAAAACGTAAGAAACTATAAAGTACAAATAGACTTATATTTAAACTTAGCCATTTAATCATAATTCAGAGAAGAGCAAATGTATTCATAACAGCATAAGAATACTGAAAACACTGTTTAAAACTTATTGTATGATAGATTCATTTCACAGTTTTTATCTCAATATAAGTAATAATATTTTTAATTTGAAAAAATGGATTTCAGGCAATGCTTCATCTGCAAGATAAGAGTTAAACGACTGCTAAGTTACAGAATACGATTTTGTGCTTTTTATGTTCTAGTCAATATCCTGAGGCATTTACAATTTTTCTATTAGCAATTTTCATTTAAACGATTTATTGGAATATATTATTGAAATATAAAATTTAATTATTTTATCTGTATCATTCAACTATTTTATCTTTGTGAAATTTGAATGCATTAAATACTGCGAGTTGTTTTTTTAAAACGATAATCTTTTATTGTAGACAATTTTGATCTGCTAAGTAAATATTCATCGTTCTCAAAAATACCGATTACCTTTATAGGATTCCATGGATTTAATTTGTTTCTAAAACAGAAAATGGAACACATATTTTCCCCTTAATAAATAGTACAGTCAAAAGTCTTTAATCCGGACTCGTCGGGACTTCGGCGATTCCGGATTATCGATTTTTCCGGATTATAGATCATCAGTTTAAATCTGGTAAGATGGCATGCAGAAATTATAAAACTAAAAATATGAAATCGTAATTTATAAAATAATGAGCAATTATGATCTAAAGGGTATCCAAATTTACCAAAAAAGAAGCCTAATATTTATTTGTTTACTTTATTAAACATTTCTTTTAACGCGCGGATGCGTAAAGCATACCTTATTATAGCCGAAATTAGAAAATTGCAACCAGAAAACTATGTGGATTTGTATTCGTGATATTATAATGACGAGGAATTTGATTTAAATCATATCAAAGACGGAGTACATCGAAATTAAATACTACATTTAGTAAGGAATTATAAGCCGACTAAAATAAAAACATCTGCCCTGAAGATAACGATAGTGTTGACAGATCAACTTCCAGTTCATTGCGCGCCGCGACGCGCATTTTGGCATTATATAATATTATCTTTTGGCATTATATAAGGAAACTTTTGGTTGTAATTAAGATTACTATTGGCAAGTCTGCCTCCTACTCTCAGAAGAGAATCATTATCTAAAAAATGGACATAAAAATTTTAACTTACTTTTGGAAGAAACACAATTCTTATTTTTTAAAGATAAAATATCCTTTCTAAAATGTTGGAACTGTACATACCTGATCATGATTTTCTCAGCGTCATCCAATTCTTTAACTGTTAGAGAACCTATTAAATTATCACAGAATCCTATAATTTCTATTTGTTGTAATCCTTTGGTTAGAACAAATCTGGAGATGCGATAATCATTGACTATTTTTAGACTATGCAGAAATGCCTTCCATTCTTCAGAGTAATTTTTAGTTAGAGGTGTATTGGTTAGAACAAATCTGGAGATGCGATAATCATTGACTATTTTTAGACTATGCAGAAATGCCTTCCATTCTTCAGAGTAATTTTTAGTTAGAGGTGTATTCCAATTTAATTTTAGAAGCCAGAGGTTTTGTAGAATATTTTAGCTTTTGTTGTAACAGGTCCAATTAAACCTAACGGATCAAAGAGGCGACCTATCATTGATAAGACATCTCTTTTCGTTCTAGTTTCTTCAATGTCAAGTACCTTTAAATCGTAAGAAAAACAGTCTGTAGACGTATTCCATGACATTCCTAAGGCTTTTGTAATCTGAGGCTTACTGGTAACTTGAAAGGAGTAATCCTGAGTAGCACTTTCTTTATTCTTCAATAATTCTGGATTGTTTGAACACCATTTGTGTAACTGCATTCCACCACGTTCTAGAAGACAGGTCAACTGTGTCTGCAACTCCTTGGCTTCTTGCATCGTATTAGCTCCAGTAATAATGTCGTCCATGTAACAGTCCTTCAGTATGGCTCTTGAGGCATGAGGAAAGTCTGTCACTTCATCCATTGCTAACTGCTTCAGGACCCTTGTTGCAAGGAATGGTGCACTTGCTGTTCCGTATGTTACAGTCCTTAGACGGTAAGTCTGCACAGGACTACCAACTGATTCCTTCCACAAGATCAACTGCAGGTTTTGTTGAGATGGTTCAATAAGTATTTGTCTGTACATCTTCTGAACATCAGCTCTTAATGCATAGTTGTATTTTCGAAATCTAATAATAATAGAAAATAAATCTTCTTGAGGTATTCTCCCTTTCATTAATATTGAGTTCAGTGACTTTCCATTGCTAGTAACCGCGGATGCATTAAACACAACGCGAAGCTTGGTAGAGGCTTTCTCTGGCCGATAAGCTCCATGATGACTAAGATAACTGCAAGTCGATGTTTCAATTTCTTGAACTTCTTCCATGTGATTTAGATCCTTATATTCTTTAATAAAATTCTTATATAATGTTTTCATATTCGAATCACTTTCAAGTCGATTCCACACTTGATGCAATCTTTTCTCAGCCAGCGTTTTCGATTCTCCTAATTCTACGCCTTCCCTTATGGGTAACTGAACTACATATCTTCCATGATTTTGTCTATAGTGAG